ATTCAAAAAAAAAATTAAAATGTTTTTTTAAAAAAAAAGAAAAACCCAGCCACCCTCCCCCCTCCCTTTCCTCCACCACCCCTCCCGTCAGCCACCCTCCCCCTCCCCCCCACACACCAAACCAGCGGCCCAACTCACGCATAGAAACAACACTGCCAGCCACCTAGCTCAACCACTCTTCCACCGCCGCCCATATCTTCCTCAACTTCCCCCTCCTCTATCGCCAAACACACTCCTCGCCCCTCCCTAAGCGCAGCTGAAACCCACCCCCAAACGGCCGGCAAACCTACCCCCTCCCTTTTCCCCTTCTTGCTGCCCCGACCTCCACCCCGAACCGGAAACCACCCCCCTCCCCATTCGCCCCACCGGAATCGCCGCCCCCCCCCCAAACACCCTGTGCCGGTGTTTCGACCCACCTCCACAATCCCCTCCTTTCTCGATTTGGTTTTCCGCCCTCCACAATCGGAACTCCCTTTAAACCCCTCCAACCATTCGAAACACCCTCAAAACCCCTCCCCCACTCACGAAAACCCCCAACAACCACTTCCTCACTGTCGAAAACCCTAGCCGCTAGGGTTTCGGGGTTGGAAGTTTTCGAAATGGGGGATGGAGGGGTTTAATACGTGGTTGCGTGGGGGTTTCGGGGAGGGGGGACTGTGGCTTAGGGGAAGCGCCGGAGCGGCGAGTCTAGTGGCTGGGCGAGTCTACTGGTTGAGCGAGCGAGGTGGCTGGGCCAGGGAGGTGGCGGGTTGCCGGAGTTCTAAGGTGGTTGGGGTTTTAGTTGGGTTTTTTTTTTTTTAAAACATTTTAATTTTTTTTATTTTTTTATTTTTTGAATAAACTTAACAGAATCCTAACGGATTCGGTCAACTGGTAGCAATTTTTAACAACTCTGATTTAGGTGGTAGTAAAATAAAATAAAAAAAATTTAAGGGGTAGCAAAACTGAGGTGCCTGCCTTTTGGTGGTAGCAAAACTGAAATGATCCAAAAAATAATGCATGTGTTGAGTTATAATTTTTGCCAGAATGAAGTAGGGCAAGCCAGGAATATGTTAAAGCAAATCCCTGTCTCCACTGGGCTCAAGCTTTCATATGGAGAAGAGGAGCACTATTCTTCCATCACATCTGCTGGTGAAGGCGTAGTTGTTAATCTACCTCTGCTGTTGCTGCTACTTTAGTGATGCTACTGCCTCTTATCTTTGATTGTGTAGTTTGTTTGTTTTTTTTTTTTTCCAGTTTTTTAAAGTGTAATATTACAAGTTATTGAAGAAAGTATATGTGTTTTATGTATATTATGGTTATATATAAGTATTTGGTACAATTTAAGAGAAAAAAATGCAAAATAAATTTATTTATTTTTAATTTTTTGGGGCATATTTGGCACCGGTTTTGAAACAGAATCGGTGCTAAAAGTTGTTTTTTTAATTATTTTTGGGCCTTTTTTAGCACCGGTTCACAGCAAGAACCGGTGCTAAAAGTTTTTTTTTTAAAATTTTTTTGGGGACTTTTTCACACCGGTTCACAGTAAGAACCAGTGCGAAAAATAATTTTTCGCACAGGTGCGAAAAGTCTTGGGATTTTGCATCCCTTAAATCAATGGCGGTTTTGAACCGGTGCTGATTACCAATTTTCGCCTAGTGCAAAACTTGCAGCGGAAAAACTCAACTTTCTTTTATTAATACTTATAAAAATTGTAACATTGTTTGAGTACTCAAAATAAAGACAAACCAACATTCTTAAACTAGGTGAAGCAAATCTCGGGACTCCCATATGCTCATTCAGGACTCCACTTGAAAATAGTCAACACTGCTTACCATTAAAGTAAACAAGGCGAACCAAAACAAATAGGAAATACGGATTAGCAAAATATACTAAGTACGACAAGTTCAAGATAAGTAAACTCAATTTATTTGCAAACATACTTTTAAAAACCAAATTCCTTTAAACATAATAAATAATTTTAAACCATTCAAAACATGATATTAAAATCAATCCTTCAAAAATACATTCATTATAACAAATATTAAAATCAATTCCTTCAACCACATTTTATTTCATAAATCATAATTCAAATCAATTTAATTCAGTCACCAATAAAATCATATAAAACATGTTATTCAAACCAATCACTTTCGAAGGTATCCAGCCACCTAAACGTACTTGGATTTCAAATCTTAATCAACACTTCGCACTTTCAAAGTTCAATCACGAATACACCTTGCAATTAACATAACCATAAGGTTATCACAACATCTTTAGACATAACCCAAATCTAATGTGCATGAACTATAAAACTTATTTAAAAATAATACTTTAATATAAAATTATAGCTTTGAAATAAGTATTTATATTTTAAAAAACTAACCATGAAGAAAATAAAGGAGTAGGATTAAAGAGAATTGAATTTGCGTTGGAAAGATAGGCAGAACTTGAAGAGGCTATAACTCCTTCAATACAACTCCGAATTTGGTGATTTTTGAGCCTAACCTCAAGGCTTTTTGAGATAAATAATTTTCCATGAAACATCAAAACCCCAAAAACTGACCAGAAGTGCCCAAAAATTGGCTTCAAAGGTATACGGGCTGATTTTCTTATAGAAAAGAGGAGAAGAAAAGTAGGAAAAGGTTTAGGGAAAAGAAGAGTAAAAGAGAATAAGAGAATTGAGTTTTAGTGTGAAGAATATGAGAGATATGAGGGGGGTATTTATAGGCTTGAGCATGCAAGAATTAAGGTAAGATTTTGTAGGAAGAATTATGGTAAATGTAGTTTAAGAAATTACTTAATAAAGAGAGTTTAAGAATTAAGGAAGTTTTCGTTTATGGTGATTAAGAAATAAAGAAATAAGGTAAGTGTTTAGTCATGAAATAAAAGAAGGCAAGTGAGCTTGCTTGGAGAATAATTAAGAAAATAGATTATGAAAAGTGTTAAATAGTATGATGATCATGAAAATAGTTTAAGGAAATAAAAGCTTGCTTGGAAAATAAGTATAAGTGATTTGAGATCAAAATATATATGATCAAATATAATTTATATTGGAATAGGAAAATATAGGAATTAAAGTAAAATAATTATTTTATAAAATCTAAACAAAATCCAATTAATTATTTGATTAACCGAAAATTCCAAACTAATTATTGTTTAGAATTTTCGGACCAAACACAATAATAAAACCTGATTTATTTAGCTAGAAAAATCCGAAATCACCTATGTAATATTTTCGGTTTTTATTAAAATAAATAATTAGGAAATTCTTAATTAACTTAATCAAAATCCGATTTTCCTTCACTAGAAAATCCGAAAATAATTAGTTAATTAGTTTAGGAAATTCTTTTATAAAATCAGTCCAAAATAATATACTTTAACATTTATTAAAATATCCATTTCGGTTATAATTAAATATTTAAATGGATAATTAATCTTATCCAAAATCCAAAATAATAATTGAGTTTTGAAAATGTTGTTGGCGCTAAAATTCAAATATCATTTTTGCCCAAAATTCAAATATTAAAATAAATTACTAAAATACCCTTAGAAAATACTAATTAATTAATTAATTGGAAAATACGTCTCAGAAATACGGGGTATTACAGCAAAAATAAATTATGACTAGATACTTTGCCAGCAAGTAATTATTTACACACAACCTTCAGCCGAGAGTCTGTTCTGTACACTTGGGTGTACCGTACACCTGAGGTTATTCGCTCATTAGTTTTTGCTCATTTAATACTCATATATTAAATTAATATATTTGCTCATATATTAAATGAGCAAAAATTAATGAGCAAATGACCCCGGGTGTACGGTACACCCGGGTGTGTATAACAAATTCTACCTTCAACCTGATGATCTAAATATAAACCACAATTATTATTCCTCCCCCATAGTGTTTAATATACACTTTTTTAAGAAAATGTATTATTTAGTTAATAAGAAGAAAAAACGATATTGAATTATTAAATTAAACCTTATTGAACTTATTAGATTTAATTAGACCTGATTAAACTTATCATAATCTATCGAATCTTATCAGAATTTATCTAATCTTATCTGAACTTATTAAACCTGAAACTTACTCTTTTTTTAAAGATGAAGAGATACACCTTTAGTGGCTCTTAGTTATATGTACGGTAATTTGTTTGAAACCTTTGTCAAAAACACTTGCCATTTGCCAATTGTCAATTGCCATAATTTACGCAGTTGCACTTTTTAAAAGCCGACATAGAAAATCAGAAAAACAATCATGCACTACACTAAACTCTGTCTCTCCCTTCCCTCATTCCCTTATGTGGCAAGCTTTTTCTAATTTTCATTTCATATTCCAACTTCCTTATGTTCAACCTTACTTCCTTTGCCTCTCAAGTCCATAACTCAACACACAAACTAGCTTCAACAATTCCAAGACAGTGGAGAATTATTCTTTTTAAATCCTCTTTTTTACTAATTTAACATTATATATGTTTCAAAGTAGCAACTCATTGCAACGTCCGGGCCACACACTAATTGTTAATTATTTATATTCTTGAGAGTTGATTGATAAGGTAGGTTTATAAATAGAAAAAATACACTTTAATAATTCCAACTATTGCCGATTTAGTTCTAATAATCCCAATTAAGGTTTATATTTTAATAAACCTAACTATGCCCTGATTTTGCCTCCACCAAACTCCTCAACCTCAATTTCTGCCATTACCAAACCTCCAAACCCTTCTCCTCCACCACCATTAAATCCTTCTCTTCTCCCACCCTTTCTTAAGAGGAAAGTCAAAACAATTGCAATTTGCTTGTAAATCACCCTAACATCTCATACATACATAATTAAAGCCAAAATAAGTATCAATTGCAAAAATTGATTTTTCTCTAAGGTTTTTGGACAAAATAATCACAAAATTCAAGCAAATTATAAGATAAAATTGAAGCAAAAATACATTGATTGTATGGGAGAACTTGATTTGAAGCTTCCAAGAAGATCCTTGCAAATTATGGTTGTGAGTTGAGAGTATTTGAGGGAGAAATGAGAGTAAGAAGTTCGAATGGAGGTGGTGATCGCCTACGAGGATAAGAGGGAAAAGGAGGGTCGGCCGACGGCCAGGTAGGTCGCCGGGGTGGGGGACCGATGGGGAAAGGGGTTGCTGCTAGGTTAGGGGGAAGGGGAGGGCGTGGTTGGTGGTTGGAGGTGGTGGTTTTTTTTTCTTATATAAATTAAAGTTAATTATTAAGTAATTAGGTGGGTTAGAGAGTTCCTTTCAAAAAAAAAAAAAAGGTGGGTTAGAGAGTAATTAGTGAAAATGAGAGGATATTAGAGAGTAATCAAATAACTTAGAGGGTGATTAAGTAACGAGGTTTCTTCTTAAAAAAAAAATTAATTGTGGTGGTTTTTTTAACTAAAAAACTTTTAAAATGTCTTTTCTTAAGTAAAATGGTGTTTTTAAAAGATTTTTTCTGACAAATTTTTCTTTTTTTTTTAAGACAAAAGTACCCCATTTAATTTTTGTATAGCCGGCGCGAAAAAGCGAAAGAGCGAAAAATCAATTGTGCACACCGCTGAAAACTCTCTCCCTCCCTCCCTTGATTCCCTTCCTTGGCAAGCTTTCTCCTAATTTTCATTTCAAATTCCAACTTCCTTAAATTCAACCGCACTTCCTTTGTCTCTCAACTCCATAACTCACCACACAAATCATTCTACTTCTTCTGTAACAAAAATGGCTACCCATTTGAAAGTCCTTGAACTTCGAGCCGAACTCTCCAAACGCTCCCTTGACACTTCCGGTACTAAACCCACTTTGGTAAGCGCGTGATTTTGTCATACATTCTTAAAAGACGAAGCACGAGTATTATTGTTTTCGATAATTTTATACTTAATTATGTTACCGATGATGAATTGGGGTTTTATTGAATTGTAGGTGCTGAGGCTGGAAGAAGCCCTTCGCAATCAAACAATTGTGAAGGATAATGATGCTCCGAATACGAGGGCGGCGAAGAAGAGGGAAAGGGTAGATGAAGATGGAATCAACGAGGAAATTGGAAATGGGTCTGATGAAATTAGTGAAATTGAGAGGTTACAAGGGATGAATATTCAGAAATTGCGCAAAGAAGCTTCTGATAGAGGGGTTTCTAGTATTGGAACTAAGAAAGAGATTATTCAAAGGCTTTGTGATTCTTCTGCTGTTGATGGGGATGGTATATTTCTTACTATTTTCTTGCCGATTTTTTTATTATTGATTTTCATTTTGTTTTTGTGTATGTTTAATTGACAAATTTTATATGGTTGATTGGAAATTTAATGATATGAAATTATGAAGCACAACATTGTGATTTTAGTCTTTTAGGATACCCAAAAAGTAAAACTGATTAGGTTTTGATGGAAGTTAACTCTTGTTAATTTGTTATGACTTAAGACATTCGCAAGAATATGGTTGACTCATTTGGCTTGTTTGGAAATCTGTCTCAAGGTTACATTTTCATATGTGTAGTGATATGACCTGTATACTGAAAAAGGCCAATGGGTTTTTTTGTTAGCATTGGTGTTTGATCCCATGACCATATTCTTTATGGAATTATGATTCATCTTTTACCACCACTCCAATAGTTAATCATGTTCATAAATTTCAAGCTTTAATAATATATATAGATTTTATACAGATATATTTAACAGCAGTGTATCATGTAATAACAAAATTAATCTCATCTCTTACATTTGCTCAAACATACAACCCTACAACTATTTTAGAATATGTAACTTAAATATGTATTGTACTTTTTATGCTAATGTTTATTTTTTCCAAAAATATGTCCATTTTAGGGAATTTCTTAGAACAATTGAAGAACTTAGAATATTCACTATTTTTTTTTTAAAGAAAACTCACTATGATGAATTTTGATGTTAAATAATTTTTACAAAAAAAATTAATTGTATAAGTACATTTATATATAGAAAAACAATAATCATAAAAAAAAATCTATAATTATATTTCACCTAATTTTATCATAATAAAATTTAGTTTCAATATACATACTATCCGGGGCATCGCCCGGGCTTAAAACTAGTTTCTTTTTAATTGTCCAAGTTAGGCGGACTCTATACTTTGCTATTAGTACATTGGAGCAAAAGTCTTTGTACAAAATATAAGTCCCTTTTAACTATAAGGAGTATCTATTGTCACATATTAAGAGTTGGATAAACCTAGTTGAAATTTCATTGGTATCATAAAGGTTCTAAATATTGCATTGTTTATATTAAATTGGCTACAATCCTACATTAATGTTATAATGTGACATTTACTTTTGCAATAACATTTTGCATTTGATAAATGTTTTGGATTAATAGAACTTGAGTGTAATGACACTTATCTCAAGTCAGAGGGAGTTTAATCTTTATGATAACTTACACAATTAAGAATACAGTTGAAAAGTGAAACCTGGGGGGGGGGTAATGGTATATATATATATTCTGCTTGTTCATGATTTCAATATTGTGGTTGTATGTTAAGCTAAAGGAAGAGAGGGAGAAGAAGGTAAACAAGACGAAGAGATGGTAAAGGAGGTTAAGAAGGAGAAGCTGGTGAAAGCGACAAAGAAAGGTTCAGCTGTCTTGATCAATGGCTTCCAGACCATATAAAAAGTTCATATCATGTTTTGGAACTGGTAACTTTTGTTTACTTGATTAAGTTTGTAAGATATGTTCTTACGAGGGATATATTTTACTTTAGGTACTGATAATGAACTTTTCTGATGTTAGGGTGATGACATTTATGATGCCATGTTGAACCAGACCAATGTAGGGGATAACAACAACAAGTATTATATGATTCAAGTTCTCGGTGAGTTTTAGAGTTTGTTAACTGACTTAACACTCTTATTTGGTATGCTAAAGATTTTATGTTTAAAGAAAAATTTATTTATATATTATTTTTTCATTTAGTGAAGTTAAACATAAGTATAAATAGATTTTTCCAGTCCTTGGAAATGGGTTGGAATTCTATTGTTCAAAATCTTCAAATTATTTATTAGAATCGTCACTGTGATGTTCATCACTGCATAGTGTTATTGATTTATTTGATTTTTTTATAGTGCCTCTATTCTTGATTTTATATATCTGTCAATGCTAGTCTATGCTTCTTGCACCTTCACTGCTCAGCAAAATTCCATTTACTTGCTTCTTGTACAAGTGCAGAAGTTGATGGTGGTGGTTTATACATGGTTTACAATAGATGGGGCAGAGTAGGTGTGAAGGGTCAAGATAAGTTGTTTGGTCCCTATTCATGTCGGGAAAGTGCTACCAAAGAATTTGAGGCGAAGTTTTTGGCCAAGACTAAAAATCATTGGTCCAATCGAAAAGATTTTGTTTCTTACCCAAAGTGCTACACATGGTTGGAAATGGATTACAGTGAGAAGGAACAGGTATAAATTGAGTTCATTTTCTTTTTATTGAACATATTTTGTTCTACCTGAATATTTGGATGCAGTAGGTTTTGGAGACTACATCTTCCTTTATGCAGATATCTGTGGTATGCTTGGGGAGTTACAGTATAGTGTACTAATCATTACGTCAGGATTAGGATACAGCATTTGTAGCTTTAGTTGTTCGTTTACAATATATATAATTTTGGTAGCTGGATGCTCATTTTTCCTGATCTTGAAACATTATGTTTATGTTCACTTTCAGGACCATGAGAGGCCGTCTGCTTGTACTAACATTCAACCTCAGGAAAGCAAACTTGAGCCACGTGTTGCAAAGTTTATTTCTCTTATATGCAATATCAGCATGATGAGGCAGCAGATGATGGAAATAGGTCAATATCTAGATTACCTAATTTTTTCTTATCCTGCTTTTCTTTGGAAAAATTTAAGATTGTACTGTTACTAAAAAATGTAATATGCGCTGAGAAGTAGTTTCTGGTGTATGTTATTCATAGATCTTCATTGATTGTTTTCTTTCATTATCAGATGTTCAATTTTTCTTGTGTGGGGGGAAGGCCGAAAAGGGGTTGTGATATGCTGGTTTCTCAGAAATTGATTGCAACAGAGCACTCTTGTTTTCTGCTTAATTAACTTTTTTGTGTTATCTTTTAGTTTCATATTTTTAATGTATTTTCCTTTTTATTGTTCAGGATACAATGCTGAGAAGTTGCCACTTGGAAAGTTAAGCAAGTCCACAATTTTAAAGGTTATTTAAATTTATTGTTCAAATTTTGCCTTATTGTAAAAATGTAAATGTTGATAAGACCTTGAAGTTGTCCTGGTTATGTAGCATCTGTTGTTATCTAATTAATGATCAGGTCATTGTAATAATAGTATACTGGCTTCAAAGAAGTTGTCTTCTGCCCCCCAAAAGAACTGATGATACCCTTACCTTGTCGATTATAATACAGAGTGACTACTAAGGGTTGAGATATTCACATTGATGTGCATTTCAAGGTCCAAATTTCGGGAATAAATGTGCTAGTGTTATTATTTACAATTTTAGCACAAATAGTTGATCAAGTCTTATAAAATCCCAACCTTCCCTTTGGTTATTTCTATCTATAGAAGCTTATGCTTGTCTCATGCTTGTCTACTTCCAAAATTTGATTTAAATGCCAGTAATTCTGATGCTGGTTATTCATATGTTTGATTTAAGGAAATTTCATTTTGATTTGCCAATCGACTTAAAAGTTGGTGGCCTCATGGTGAAGCACATTGCTCAGCAGCTCTTCAATTGTTTAATCAAATATTCATTTGTATAGTCTGCTTTCCTACATCAGTTATGCACTCAACTTGATTACAGTTTCTTGATCCTGTTGCCTGGATGTAGGGTTATGATGTTTTGAAGAGGCTTTCTGAAGTCATTGGCCAATCAAATAAAAAGCTAGTTGAGCAATTAAGTGGGTGAGTTTATGTTCACCGTGTCTATTTCCTTGGACACTTCTTGGCAGATCTAGTCAGCTTGTTATATATGAGTATACTTATTGTTTGTCTTTTAAATTCCTCTTCATGTCCATACTAGTAAAACCCATGCATTGCTATCTTTTTCAGGGAATTCTATACTGTCATTCCTCATGATTTTGGGTTTAAGAAGATGCGTAAGTTAATTTTGCTCATCTAGGTGGAATTATTTTAAAGTTTGATTTCATTGTTTTGGCCCTTCCTTTACTTTCGAAGTTTCACAAATGTGTATCAGTTGTCCCTATAACACTTTTATAGAGTGTGGCTATAGCTAAGCTTTCATTTAATATATATATAATTGTAAATGCTGGCAGGTGAGTTTGTCATTGACACGCCTCAAAAATTGAAAAACAAACTAGAAATGGTAAGCTTTCATAGTTGCAACCTTTGACTTCAAATAGTGCTTTCTTATTATCTGGTTACCTTTGTTGGTATTAACTTTTCATTGTATGAATCTTCCTGCAAATTTTGAGTTCCAGTCTTATTATTGTTTAACAAGAGATGCTTGTTGCTCATTGTTACTGAATGGCTCTGCTGCTGCTTTGATTTGTTAGGTTGAGGCATTGGGTGAAATTGAGCTTGCGACAAAATTGTTGAGTGATGATGTGGGAATGCAGGTACACACTTGCCTTTATGCCTTTTGTATGTTAGAATACTTATGATAGCCTGTTCTCTGGGCCAATTCAATTGGTGTAAATGGGTTCAGGTGATCTTCCTGTCAGAATAAGTACTACATATTTAATTTCTTGATCATCACATTTTGTCCTCTCGAGTATCTTATTGACTTTGAAAATTGTTGCAGGATGATCCCTTGTATGCTCAGTATGAACGACTTCATTGTCAATTGATACCTGTAGAAGTTGATTCAGAAGAATTCTCCATGGTATGACATTGGTACCATATTTTCAGATGTTCAAAAATACCTTTGTGTGTGTGTGGCATTCTTTGTGTGGGAAATCATGGTTTTATTTCCTATACATCATGTAAAAGTCCCTGAAAAAAATTACTTTCAATGCTGTTGTCTACACTGTTGCCCTTCATCCCTTGATGTGTGGCTGATGTTTTGAGAATCTCTCAAGCATTTGGCTTGAAATGTGTCTGATGTGAATGTTCCTGCTCACTATCACACTAGTGAACTCTGTTGGTATATTGTAGTTCTAGTAAAAGATATTATTCCAGAAATTTTAGATTTATGGATTGACTTTCTCTCTGTTCAGATCCAGAAGTATACAAAGAATACTCATGCCAAAACACATTCAGACTATAATGTAGATATCGTTCAAGTTTTTAGAGTGTCTAGACAGAGAGAAGAGGAGCAGTTTAAAAAGGTAAATTTCTCAAAGCTTCTATTAATATAAATGCATTATCTCTACACCAGATGTCTTGTGTATAGGATCGATGTCAGTGCCTATTTACTCTTATATACTCGCTTTGGTTTCTGACCAGTTTGCTAGCTCAAGAAATAGGATGTTGTTGTGGCATGGTTCTCGGCTTACAAACTGGACTGGAATTTTATCTCAAGGTAATACTAAATCCTATAAAAGACGAGCAAGTTTATCGTTTTTTGCTACTCACGAAGTTACTATTGATGTTCCTTTTGAATGCCCCTACTTCATTATATCCAGGATTGCGCATTGCTCCGCCTGAAGCACCTGTGACAGGATATATGTTTGGCAAAGGAGTTTATTTCGCTGACATGTTCTCCAAGAGTGCAAATTACTGCTTTTCCAGCCGTAGTGCTCCTACTGGCGTTCTACTTTTGTGTGAGGTACCTATTAGTAGCTTTATCACTTTTAAAAGTTTTAATGATGAGAGTTTAATTAAATTGTAATCCTTCTGCTATCAATCACATGTTACTGATATATTTAGCTGTGACTTCACATGTGTATAATGGTTTTTGTATTTCTTAAACATTATTTAGATAGGTTCACACCCAGAAAGGGTTTGTTTTAAGGCCTTTAATGACCTGTTTCTGTGGAGAAACTAATTAAAACTACTACTCCTGTACTTTGGTGGTTAACTAACTTCATCTTGCATCTGTATGGTTATGGTACTGTTTCTTCCTCTTCCTTCAGGTGGCATTGGGTGAGATGGAGGAGCTTCTACATTCAAAGTACGATGCAGATAAATTACCGGCAGGAAAGCTAAGGTGAGGCCAATATATTGCTTGTATGAGTTCTTTGTCATGTTCAATCTGATTGACAGCTGAAAGTGCTTAATTTAAAGACCTGCTCCCAGCATTCCTTGCCTCTTCTACACACACAAAAGTTCCGTTGCTATGTATAACATGTCATGGTGCTAGTGCATACAAATTCTTATTTATCTGCTTTCCTCTTTGCATTTGGTACAGTTATCTCTTATTTGTAGAAATGCATATGTAGGACTTGAAGACCAAAAACCTAGAAACTGAAAGACTAATATTGTTTTCTGATTCTGAATGACATGTATCAAGTTACTTTATGCCTGAATTTGTCTTGAGCTTTAATTAATGGTAAAATGTCTCTGAGATCTAAGATCAAAATCCTGAAACTCATTTATTTTATATCTAGGAACCTAATGTAATCCAATGTTGTACCTGCCCTTTCACATTGCTCTCAAATTAATTTTTTGCATGGCAGCACGAAAGGAATTGGTTCAACAGAACCAAATATGTTGGAGTCCCAGGTGCTCGATGATGGTGTCGTTGTTCCCTTTGGAAAGCCAGTAGAGAAGAAAGATGTCAAGGTAAGCAACTTATACATATTAGCTGAACAACAATTCTACTCCGGAGAGTGTCACTTCTGGTTTCACACATGATGTCTCATACTCTCATTTATAATTTACTTCAGGGTAGTCTACGGTACAACGAGTACATAGTTTACAATGTAGATCAGATAAGAATGCGCTATGTTATTCAAGTCAAATTCAACCATAATCGATGAGATGTTGTGTTAATGTGATACCTTAATCTAAAGCGGAGCTAATATCGCTAAATGCTAGAGTACTGTCCAAAGGAGGATGAAGGTTGAGAGAGCTGCTAAGTTGTGTAGACGCAATCGCTTATATTGTGTCTAGTTGATCGGAAATGTATGTATTTTGAATCCAAATTGCCTACATTTAATTTTTCAGGTCTTAATGATGGGTAAATCATATGTAATTAAGGAATTTTGTTATATAATGTTTTTGGGAAACCATGCATGTCCAATGTATTGTGTATTATGCTCCAAAGATGTTCAATAATTACTTAGTACGAAGTATTTAATTATGAGCTAGGTCCCACTAATATCCTATATTATTATCTCTTGTTAATTTTAATGACATTTTGGAAAATAAAAGCACTTCTATCTCCCTCCCTCTCATGGCTTTGCCGACCATCCCCTCCCATGGCCACTCATTTTTCTCTCCTTCCCTCTCGAGCCCACTCATTTTTCTCTCCTTCCCTCCCATGGCCACTATTTCTTTTTCTCTCCTCCCCTCCCATGGCCTTGCTGACCACTCGACCACCATCCCGAGCCTAACCGGCCGGCCAAACAAAAGGCTCCCTAGTAGGACATATGTAAAGTGGGCTCATAATAATCCATTAGGAAAAGAGTGGTGTTTGCGGAGGTGTGACGGTCGTCTAGTGGTACTAATGGCTGTGTTGTGGTCGATTGGTGGTGGTATTGGTTGTACGGTGGTCGGATGGTCTTGCTAGTGGCCGTGCGATGGTTGGATGATGGTGTTAGTGGTCGTGCTAGTCAAAAGGTGGTGCTGGTGGTGGTTTAATGGTGATAGAGGAGAGAGAAAGGGGGTTTTTGCTTAAAATTTACAAAAAAAAAACCCCTTTGTTTATATAGGATATAAACTTGTATTTGTTTAATAATTAATTGAGTATTTAATTATATAAAATAAAATTATCATATATCATACATGAATTTTTTGGAAAAATTATCAAGAATAAAATGACCTGGTCGATTGGTCTTCCACAAATAAAACGACCTTTTGATCGGTTGGTAACCTGTATAATAAGTTAATTTTGACACATGTTGTATTGTGAATGGTCACTTATTTTTTGGCAATTTTCTTAAAAAAAAATGATTTTTTTTAAAGAAAACCCACCGACCTCACCCCATCGCCGCCCCACCGTCGGTCATCTACCACCATCCCTCACTCCATCCATCATCACTAGGCTAAACAAACCCCATCCAAGCACCAACCACGGCCACCAGCCCGGCTGAAACCCCAACCCTTACCCCCATCGGCCACCAACCCTGACATCCACCATGACCAGCCTTCACCCCCGCCGACCACATCCCCAATCTAGCACAAACCAGCTTGGCTAAAACCCCCACCCCAACCCTGTACGAGCTCGGAACTTTGCCCTCGAAATCCTTCCACCACCAACCCTTACCCCACCATTCTAAAAAACCCACCACGAAAACCAATCGTTGTTGCGGGAAGTGGGACGGGGAGGGGTTGGGTGGCTTGCGGGAAGTAGGATAATGAATGAGAGATTAGCCAATCCCTAAAATCACATTAAATGCTATAACTAGAATTCCTGCTTATAAGAAATGGTGCCTTGAATTGGAGCTAGGAAGTCTGTGTCGCAAAGCTGGGAAAATGTAGTAAGACACGCCATACTTTTGGAGACATGGGCGTGCTTCAACGGAGAAGACGCAACACTCGCCCTAACATGCATGTGTAAAATCTGGCATACCCGTGTCAGGTGCCATGCTAGTCTAATTAGGGGGCATGCACATGCCTTGTGCAGCACGCCTATGTCTGGGGGTTTTTGACCAATTTTAGTTGATTTGTTCATAGGCTTTATTTCCTTAATTAAAGGCTATCTTTCCTAGTCTAAGGGTTATTAAAAATACCCTTAAGTTATTTCCTAGCCGCTATTATAAATTAGTTGAGTGATTATTCAGTAATCTGAGAGTCTTTTGTGTATTTCTCATCTGTGAATTATGAGATACTCCTTCCGTGTTTAAATAAATGAAATTTTTCCCTTGTACACATATGCCAATGCAATACTTTGACTAATAATATCTTTAATTATCATAAAGTAAAAATTATATCAATTGAATATTAATAAACTATTCATTGAGTTCCACACAAGACTATATTTATTCCCATGTATAAATCACAAGCGTTAGTCAAAGTGAATAGATGAATAGTGTAAAAAAGTCAAAATGTTTCATTTATTTAAACACGGAGGGAGTATACAACAATAGAAATATGAGAGAAAATCAACCTGTTTTAAGAGATTGGTCTCAAATCTATTTTGAATTTGTATTCTGTTTTCCCGAAGAGCAATATAACTATTACTCTCGCCTGCCTGTGAACGTAGCATATGTGTTGTTGGTGAACCACGTGTATTTTTCTTGTTAATTTTACATTTAATATTTGTTCTTTCTTGCATCCGTTATAACACTCTTAAAACTAATATCCATTAATTTAAGAAACAAATCATTCTATTGTCCCAATATAGAAAAATGAGAGAAAAAAAAAACATTCTTAAGGAATCATTCATAATGATACTTTAATTGTATTAGTCAATAGGAAACAAAGATTAAGTTAAGCATTTATATTTTGAGAAACATTTTTTAAATTATTACTCCCTACATTTTATATTGTTAGTCCCCTTTATAATTAATCACTTAAAATAAGAAAAGGAGGAACCCTTTCCTCAAAAAAAAAAAAAAAAAAGAAAAGGAGGAACCCTAGTAATTTGGAATTTGATTGCATCTTTGTAATTAATATTTTATCTTTTTCTATTTTATTTGTTTTATTTATGGGAATTGGTTGTAATTAAATCATCTATAATAAATATTGATTAGAAGAATTAGCCATGTCAGCGATCCATTAACACATATATTAACCAATCAGAATCATTTGACTCTTTAAACATCCAATTACATTAATTATTCACAGATTATGAAAATTATTCACCCTATAATAATGTTAGGAATAAATTCCATACGGGTATATAATTTTGAAACGCTCAAAATATTATATGGGATTAACAAAATGAAACAGAGGGAGTATATAACTATCAACTCCTTATTTCTTTTTAGCCTAAGGAAAAATTAACTTAAACAAAATATAATTCCAATGTAAATTGGCGTAACATTTCATAAAATGAAAGTGTATTTAATAAAATCATACTCCATATAATTATACTAAAGCTCACTGTTTATTCAAGAAGAATCCTCCGTCAATATATATATATATATATATATTCAAGAAGAATCTTCTATTTTTAAACGTCCAAATTATAAGATACTAGATGGAAGCCCGTGCGATGCACAATTTTTTCATCTAAGATTTTTAATTATTTGATTTACTGTATTTAATAATTTCTGACAAAATTACAGACGTTTAATATTTTTTTATTATAAAAATAAATCAATATATTTACCAATAAATGAAAAATTGTTGCGATATAAAATCAAATCTATGCATTGGAATTTTTTCATCATCTCAAAAAATAACCAAAGCCGTCCATATATTAAGTATACAATATCTAACCGTATGCATTACATAAACAAATAATCGTTAAGTATCCTAAATAAATACAATGTAATTAACAATTACAAATATAAATTTAAACATAAGATTTTAAAAATTACCGGGACATTGATGACCTATATTTTTAAAAATTTATCTTTTCCTATATTTTTACTTTGTTTTTTTTCATTAAAATAATTTAAGTCGTGGATTATAATCTACGTGGCATTAAAATTTTATATATATCAAATCTAATTCATTACTTTTATCTAGGTGGCGACACAATTTTTTAATTCAAAAATAAAATACAAATATTTCTTCTTATTGATCGAAATAAGTATATTTCTTACGTGGCGCTCCGAATGCTTTCCAAAAATGCCTACTTTATTTATATATATTAGATTATAAGTAGAAAAATAAAGTAATACAACATATCTCGATTTAAAAAAAGAAAAAAAAATATTATAAGAAATATTTGATAAAATATTCTAATTAATTAAGTAAAAAGGAAGGATAGGATAAGAATATAGTTTTTACTAGGTTAGAACCCGTGCGATGCACGGTTTATAGAAACCTATTTATATTTTATTTTAATAAAAATGGCTATTATACATGAATATAAACAATAATTGCGTACAAAAAATATTTGTAACTTAAAAATTATTTCAATTTCCTAGGATAAATTGGTAGGTTTTAGCTGTAAAGTAGAAGGTTCTAATATTTAAATTTCAAAAAATTAAAATGATAGCTCCAAAAAAAAAAAAGATGACATCATCATTGCATTTAGGCGGGAAAAAATTTATTAAGAGAGTGATACGTGGGCAGTAGTGATGTCAGCATACTCTGTTTTAGTAATAGTTAATAGATATAGGTAGATGGGCTTAACATTTGAGCGATAAATTTTTTCATGAGGTAGCGCTACGTGTGCAGCTTTAGAAAAAGATGACATCAGCGGTTGCTGCTTTAGTATTAGTTATAGATTTGTAGATATTAGGAAGGGAAAATATATTTTAAAATTTATTGGTAACCAATTATATTAAATGCAAATATTCTACTGAAAATATCTTGTTATGATATATTATGAGAATGTCAATTTTACCCCTTATATTTTATTAAAATATTCTAGATTTAGGGTTTATTGTTCTCCAAGCAAACCCTAGCTCTAGTATATATCTCACTACATGGAATAAAGTAAAACACACTTATCCACCCTTAAAATCTATCCTCTTATATGTTAAGAGTTTTTAGTCTAACCGCTCCTATAGAATACATTACCCTTCCCATACAAATAGTTTTCCTCACACTTACAACAACAACAACAAAAAAAAAAAAAAAAAGGTTCTTAAAAGATGTGAGCTTACCAAAAGGAGACGAATGGCAACAACAATGGGATAATGGGGAAAGACAGATATGAGGAGACGAATTACTTCTCATATCTGTCTCTCCCCATCATCCCACTGTTGTTGACATTCGTCTCCTTTTGGTAAGCTCACATCTCTTAAGAGCCTTTTTTTTTTCTATGTTTTTTTTAATTTTTTAATGTTAATTAATATTGATAAAGTTTTAATCCCCTTTCATCATTATTGTTAAGCAATGATAATTAATCATAATTATTACTATATTTTTTGCATAAGGTATTGATTTTTAATGTTAGTATACTTGAAATTTAAGATCTTCATTGGGCTTAAAGGATTCAAATAATAATTAAAGGTATTTTTGTATTATTATGAGGATCACCTTGAATAATAGTTCTTCATTTAAGTTCATCAATTTTTCAAAATAACTAATATAAAGCATGTGTAAATTGTGAAAACGTTATCTTAGTTGAATATATGGGGAATACATTTTAATAATTTGATTTTTGTTTTGTGAAGATGAGAGGAAAGAATATGTATAGATAAGATTTTTTTTTTCACGGAAGATAAGTTAGACGTGTTATACTTAATTTATCTTTTATTATATTTATTTTTTTTGAGAAAAAAATAAATATTCCGT